CCGTGGCGGCGGCCCACCTGGGCCGAGTTGCGCGTGCGCACCACTTAGCCCCGCCCCTGTGGAATCCCACTTTGCCTTTTTAACTCTGGTTTCTAAGGTGGCTTCCTGCATAAGCCAGGATTCCCCCTCCTCCAACCTTTCCTCTGATAACCCACATTGCTTAGCGAGTAATCCATTGTCCCATTCTGCCCTTGAGGCTCTCTCTTCTCAACCTTCTCATTTGTTTTTTTAATCTTCCCAAAGCCCTTATTTTATTCATATGTTGTAGCAGCCTTTACACAGAATAATTACCTCTGAGCCCCGTTTCTTATTAAATAAGAAATCATAATTCATGTCTAATTTCTTGAAAAATTTTTAACAGCAAACAAAAGCAAAACTAATATATATGTTAATAATGCATTCTCCTTGTTAAAACAAAACATTACAGTTAAGGTCGAAAACCCCTCATCCAGTAGTCCTTTCCAAAGGACTTGTTTGCTGTGAATCATCCTGAAATTTTTCACACATTTACTTCAGCTGAATTGTATTGTTTTATTGGGAGAAACCCGAGGCTTAAAGGGTACAGCACAGAATGTATCTCTAGTTGTCCATTTTTAAGTGTTTCATAATATTCCATTGCATGGCTTTCATAAAGTAAATATGGCTAAATCTCTGTTGATGTCATTTGGATTGATTTCAACTTTTCACTTTAACACACAAAAAAACCTACAATGAAGAGCCTTGTCAATGACTTCTTGCAGATTTATACAAGTCTTTCTCCAAGAGAGATCATAAAGTATGTGCAGTTTTTGTTTTTGTAGATAATGTCAAATTTTCAGGTCACTTTTGAGAGCACATCTTTCAAGAAGATGATACATCATTGGTTGAAACTGGTGTTCTATTTCTTAATTGTAACTACCTAGTTGCTAACCTCAGGTAATCAACATTTCTATGCTTGTTTTCTCATCTATAAAGAGGGAAAACTGAATTAGATGATCTCTAAATTCCTTTCTGTTATAAAGTTTTCAAACAATACACTTTTCAACAGAAAGAAATCCATTTTAGTTTTAATAATCAATCAATATGTTTCTGTACGCTCGAACCAATAAATACCATTTTCCGTTTATTTAACAGTTACTGAATACCTGCTGTTTAAGAAATTCGAAAATAAAGATATAACTAAAACATAATCCCCATCCTTAAAGAACTCTCTATTCGGAAAAGGTGGTAAACAATTAGTTCTCCTACACGAGAAAAGGTGTATATGCTATAAAAAAAGCACAAAGTGTTTACATCCTAACAATACAACACCATTTTGTCTAATTTAAATAATTCATGCAGTTTTAATCCCCCTTACTTTTGAACTCTCTTTTATCTGCTATTCCCAGTCTCCCTTACCTGTTTAGGATAATCCCTGTATCCTTCTGAAATCTGTTGAGATATAATCAACTTTGTGAAATCTTTCTTAAATTCCACTTTATCTCCTCCCATTTTTTAATTTATTCAATAAATATTTATGTAGGGTCTACCAAGTGCCAGGAACTCTTCTTTGCTATGTAGGTTCTGCAGTGAGGAAAACAAAGTCCTCCTCTAGTGAGCCTTCATTCTAATGAGGAGACAGTCAATAAACCTAAGTGTACAATATCCTGCCCTTTACTGACAGTAATGGAGTGAAGGTCTTATATTCTGCTTGGGAGTATCATAAGGCAATCACTTATAGTTCTGTTTATTTATCACTAGTGGCCCAGTGCACGGATTTGTGCACACTGAAAGGAAATTAATTAGAAGAAATATTTTAATATCGCTATTCGCCCTTTCTCTATAATAGAAGTGTCAACCAAATTCACAAACAATGACAGATAGAAACACACTCAATTGGCACCAACGAGAGCATTATATGTATTGCATATGTGCGAGTCAACATTTATTTTTAAATTGCCAGTGTGCATCAGATGTACCGGTCAGACGGTCGGATGGACAGGTGGTCAGTCACTTAGCCTTTTATATATATAGATTCCATGAGCATATAATGAACTTTGGTGGTTTCATGGAACAATTGTTTTTTGCTGAGGAGCCTCTTTTTCCTTTCAGCTGTCTGAAATGAACTTGTCTTTCAAGGCATTACTTAAACTGAAGAATTACTGAATAATAACTGATGCATCAGAATTGCCTTCATGGAGGTAGCATTTGAGCTAAGCTTTGAAAGGAAGATTCCCACAAGCAGGGAAGCCCATAAATCACTAATAGCCAGTCTTAAAAGTCCTCTTCCTGCTTGCTTTCGAATTGAGTTCCTTGTCTGGATACACTTCCTGAGTTAAAAGTGTCTTTTTCTCCTTACTCATTGAGGGAGACTTCAAAGACAGATAGCTTGAAGATGTATAAAATTAAGACCTTATCAAACTACAATACTCCATATATTCTGATTATATTTGTTTTCCCTTTTATTATTTTTTGTGATCTGTTGGTTCTTGGCAAAACAATAACAACACAGCGTCAGTTTTAATATAGCTAGCTCTGAGAATTACTGAAAGGAAATGCTTACTAGATAATTAAAATGATGACAAGAGTACAAGAGTTAAAGATCAAATAAAAGTGCTTTGCTCAGTATCTAGTAGATAGCAAGTACTCATAAATGTGTTTTAAATGAATGTCATTTAGGCCCAACTGTGCTATTTCTTGCCAACTTTAAATATGTTGCTTAAATCTCCGTGTTCTTCAGTTTCCTCATCAGTAAATCAATCTATTAAAATAAATTTTACACCCACTTCTTGGGAGGATAACAAAGCTAAAAGGAGGCTTCAAATGTCAAAGCATTTAACAAGTTAGTGGCAAGCAGGTGGTACGTTATTGGTTACTGCCTTTTGTCCTTTGAACAACCTGAATAACTGCACATGTGCAGAGGTTTTCTTTCTCTCTAGATATTCCATGAGCAATTAAGCCCCAATTATCCATCTTCCTCTATATTCTTATGTATTTTAACACTAAATTTTACATTGCCAGTTGTTTTTGGAAAATGAAATCATCTACTACATCTAACTGTTATATAACCTGCACATTCTTTTTTTTTTTTAAATATTTTATTGATTTTTTTACAGAGAAGAAGGGAGAGGGACAGAGAGCCAGAAACATGGATGAGAGAGATCGTTCAGCTGCCTCCTGCACGCCCCCCACTGGGGATGTGCCCGCAACCCAGGTACACGCCCTTGACTGGAATCGAACCTGGGACGCCTCAGTCAGCAGGCCGACGCTCTATCCACTGAGCCAAACCGGTTCGGCTTAAAAAATATATATATATATTTCTTTATTGATTTCAGAGAGGAAGGGAGGAGAGAAAGATAGAAACATCAATGATGAGAGAGAATCATTGATAGGCTGCCTCCTGAACACCCCCTATTGGGGATCGAGCCCTCAACCCAGGCATGTGCCCTTGGCCGGAATAGAATGTGGGACCCTTCAGTCCGCAGGCTGATGTTCTATCCACTGAGCCAAGCCGGTTAGGGCCTGCACATTCTTTAATGTTGAGAACAGTTTGGTTGGTGTTTTTTTCTGTAGTCAGCTAATCCTCTCTTACAATGTCAACCACATGGAAAGTGCTTAGTAAATTCTTAAATTGATCATTCATATGCAGGACTTAGAAATAAGGTAAAGGGAGATATGCTTGATTTTATGAGGCATGGGAAATAATTGCTGGATATTTTTAGTGAAATACAAATCACATTTAAATAAGGTAAATCTTATTATCTTAAGCATGTCATTTTAGCAGGAATTAATTTACTCTGCCATAACATCTGAGAGCAAGAAATGGAAGGAAGAAAACTCTGACACATATTATAATACAGATGAACCTTGAGGATATTATGCTAAGCGAAATAAGCCAGTCACAGAAAGAAAAATATTGTATGATTCCATTTATGAGGTAAATAGAGTTCACTTCTTAGAACCACAAAATAGGATGATGGTTGCAGGGGCAGGGGAGGGGGACATGGGGAATTGTTGTTTAATGGATAGACCAGCCGTGGGCAAACTACAGCCCGCAGGCCGTTTGAAATGAATGAAACTAAAAAAAAAAAAGACCGTACCCTTTTATGTAATTATGTTTACTTTGAATTTATATTAGTTCACACAAACACTCCATCCATGCTTTTGTTCCGGCCCTCCGGTCCAGTTTAAGAACCCATTGTGGCCCTCGAGTCAAAAAGTTTGCCCACCCCTGCATTAGCACATTAAAAATGCACCTGGAAAGCTGGTGAATATTCTGCTGAAACCCTCCCCTAAGATTCTTGCCCTTGGGGCGGGGGTGGGGGGGGAGGACTAGAGACACCCTTGCCTTCAAAAGCACCTGAGTTAAAAGAATTCATACACAAAAGCATGGAACAGATTGGGAAATCTCAGAGGGAAGGCTGGGGAGGATGGGTGGGTGGGAAGAGATCAACCAAAAAATTTGTATGCATATATGCATAACTCATGGACACAGACAATAGGGTAGCTAAGGCCTGGGGTTGGGGGAGTGGGGTGGGAGAATGGGGTGAGGGCATGGTTAGATGAAGTCAATGGGGGCGGGCATATGTAATACTTTCAACAATAAAGATTTTTTTTTTTAAAAAAAGAACTCATACATCTAAAGCAAGCAAGTGCAATAAAATGTTGCAAAAGTGATGAATTTTTTTTAGTGTCTAACAATTACAAAGTGGGGGAAATAAATTCTGACTGGGTGAAGTAAAAAAGGGAAGTGGTCAGAAGTTTCATATAGAAAATGAGTTTTTAGTTGTCTTCAAAGAAAACCAGGTGTTCACCAGGTGGAGAGGAGCATTCCTGGCAGTCCAGGCAGAAAATGCAGCATGAACAAAGCTAGTCATGAAACCATACAACATGTTCTTTGCAACTACAAATAGTTCAGTACAGCTGGAGTGTATTGTATAAAGAGAGACTCAAGAAGAAATAGGAGCTAGGAACTAGAAAAGAAGGGACTAGATTAGGGTGAGTCTTATTTTTTATTCTAGATAGTAGCAGCCAAGGGGGAACTACTAAAGTATTTTTAGGAGTGGAAATAACTTGTTCACATTTGGAGTGCAGAAAAAAATTTAGTAAAGACATGGACAATTATTTGGATGCAGTAAGATTTTGAGCTGAGTGCAGTTAGGAAACAGTAACAGCAACCGCTCAGGCTAGAGTAGATAAGTACAGGTGATGTAGGATAGTAAGAAGTTAGGAAAATCCCTGTGCACGTGGAGTGAAGAAACTGAGACAAGAAAATTAAACAAGGCCAAACAGTTTGGGCAACTTACAGCCAGCTTGTGAACTGCAAGACCTTATCTTCCCTAACCAAGGACACTTGAAAGCAAATGGTTTATAGCTAATGCATCAAAATGAGGGGATAGCAAAGTTTGGGATAATTCTTTAATCTGCTTTACTTTTATCTTGGGTCTGTCTGGCTTTAATGGGGCTTTTGTTATTTGTTCCCCTAACTTCATTTGTCCTTGGGTTTAGTTGGCACAACTGGCATTAATTGGGTCTCTGTTCTCTATTTCCCAGACCACGGTGATTTAAGCTATGTATTCTCTGGTTAGGGAGAGGAGGTATAAACCATTTGCTTTTGAGTGTCCATGATTGGGGAAGATTAATTCTTGTGATTCACAAGCTAGCTTTAAGTTGTTCAAATTGTTTATACTTGTTTAATTTTCTTGTCTCAGTTTCCCTATTCCACTTTCCCAGGAATTTTCTTAGCTTCTTACTATCCTGTCACAATAAGATCTAGGATAGAAGGCAGAGATGTAGAGGCACCATGGCTTAGTTCTTTTTATATCCCCAATGTCCAACACAGTGTCTGGCATATTGTACAAGTCTATTAAAAGTTGGTTGGCTATATTATTTATTCTATGGATATGAATTGAACATTATTTTACAAACATTTATTGAACACCTATTATATTGTAGCAGAATAGATATGTTAAAGAAAACAAGTATGTTAAAACTCATCCCGAGTCCTAGCAGGTTTTGCTCAGTGGATAGAGCGTTGGCCTGCAGACTGAAGGGTCCCAGTTTTGATTCCAGTCCAGGGCACAAGCCCAGGTTGTGGGCTCAATCCCCAGTAGGGGCCATGCAGGAAGCAGCCGCTCAATGATTCTCTCTCATCATTGATGTTTTTATCTATCTCTCCCTTTCCCCTCCTCTCTGAAATCAATAAAATATTAAAAAAAACCTTCACCCCATGATATGGCAAGTACTTATCAGAGATATCAACTGTATGTTTTGTATTGGAGGACTGAGAAGGAAGATAGGATGATGATAGTAGTGGTGGTGACTTAGGAATATCCTCACTTGGAAGGTGAGGATACATTGATACTTCTTTAGAGATGAGCACATCTCTTTAAAAGTAAGGATGAGAAGGGGTTGGATTTTCAGATTTTTGAAGCAGACTAAGACTTATTGACAATGCCATGAGGGAGGAGAGATGGAGAAAGTGAAAATGAGACCAGGAGATTGTTTATGAG